ACTCAGGCTGGGATTGTTTTTGAGCTCTGAGATCTTCCTCCAGGTACCATTTTTCCTTCACTATCTGGTGATCTTGGGATGGTAAGAGAGCCCACCTTTCCTTATGCTTCTGAGGGTAAATTCCAGCCCTATCATCCTATGAACCATTGAATCCGTTACCTCCCACTTCCCAAGGCTGAGGTTCAGCATTCTTTAGCCAGAGCCCATGCAAGCCACACGAGTCTCCCTGAACTGCCCAGCAATTATCGAGAAACTGCCTAACCCAGGTGTGAGAAGGGAATAGAAACACATAGATTATTTGGATTTCCTCGTTCAATCCTCATGAGGACAACACAAGAAAATATCTACTATGACCCCCGTAATACCAAGGTGGAAACCAAGGTGCAGGTCAGCGCACTCACCACTGGTTAACCACTTCGCTGAGGAAAGGTCAGCATTCCCAGGGCTCTAAGATGCCGACACTGCGTGTGAATGCTAACCTCACGTACCCTGTGGGAGACAGTGGACCAGGGAGCAGAGGGAGATTTTCTAAACTGTCTTAAAGGTCAAGTGGGTAATAAAACCATTTGTGGTGGTGTGCTATGGGAGTACCTGAAGATGATACATGTATTGAGAACGCATTTCGGGGGCCTTCTCTAGGGAGCATAAATCCAAGTGGTTCTGTTCAAAATCTCCAAATAGGTCAGGAGTTTCCTATTCCATGCAGGTACAGAGAGCTGGAAATGAGCCTAACAAGCCTGTTGGTGCAAGTTTCTGGCTGGTTGTGCAACCATATACATATGCATGTTATATATGCACATATACCTGTACATACACATACATGTATTTAAATAGTTTTTCTGTATGTAAATAGTGCTCATGGGATACACTATCTTCTCCATTTACTTGAAATACATTAGTAGAAAACTTATTTCATGTTCTCCTATGATCTTTTTTTCTGTTCCTCTGGTACCTCTCTTCCATGTTTTCCCCTCCACCTTTCATGCTAGATGTCCTCACATGTCACAGAGTCCTCCCCTGCCCATTCGCACTTGTGTGCTACATGGGAATCAGCTGACTATGAATGCTATGTACCTGGGTGATGGCCTGGATCTCTCAGTGCTCTTCCCTGTATTAACTGGGGAGATGCACGTGGATCTGGACATCCTAGACTTGGACAGCTCCAGATGTCCCCCAGGTGTTCTACAGTCTCCTGTCTGGCAACATTGAGCGTGGCTGCCAGGATGCTGGAAGCTGAACAAGGAAAGAAGCAGCAGGGGTTCAGCTTACAATTTGTAAATAAGGCTCTTGTTTTCAACAGCACAGTTTGTGCCCCTACCTCACCTTTGCTCTCAGCATGAAATTTTATGAGATTTAATCATTTCTAATACTAAGATCCATTTTAATCCTGAATGTTCCAGGTTAAACGTTTATATGGCTGTACTATGTTTATTCATTCTCTTATTGCCAGATACATAATGTGTCCCCAGTTTCGGAAAGAATGAAAAAAAACTGCTTATAAATATACTGTTACACATTTTTTGTGGAACTATTTTTCTCCTGGGTAAAAAACTGGGGCGGTGGGCAGGAATTACTGGTTCACACACAAGGTGTGTGGTCAAATTAACGTCTTCAAATGTTTGTACCATTATAACATCTCATCAGCAATCTAAGAGCTCACGTTGCTCTGTTATCATTCCCAGTACTTGATTATCTTGTTAGCTATTATAATGGGTCCAGTTGCTACTGTTATTTAGCATAAAAGTCAGTATGTTATTGGGGTTTTACTTTTGTTTTTCTAAAGAAAACTGTTGCCCACCGGGTCACCTACCAGGGCCAGGCACCACACGCATAGTTGAAGCAGAAATGAGTTACTTCCTGCTCTCCTAGGTGAATCCAGAGCACCAGCACCACGTGGCTGATTCTCTGTCACCTTAAAGTCACTTCTTAATGCTAATTTAATGTTTGTGTGTTTTTGCTACATTTACAGCTGATAAGCTGGTGCATGTTAATGGCAACAATGGTTTAAAGTTTGTTTTCCATTTGTTTTTAAATTTTTTATTTGGATATAATTTCACATAACATAAAATTCAGTATGTTAACCATTTAAAAATGTGTAATTGGGACATTACACAATGGTGGAACTGGAGTCTCCTCTCTCCACTCCCACGGATGTACTGAAGAAAAGCTACGCAAGAAGCAATTTCCTCTGAGAGAAATCTAAAAACTAGTGCATTCTCCTACACACTGGATGTCAGGGCAAATATCCCAAATGTTGGGAAAAGCTGAGACACACCTGTGCACAAACCCAGTGCCCAGCACTGAGCCTTACACTCAGGATGCAACCCCGACTGTCGTCATCTAAGGAGCACAGGCTTGGAACAAAGCATCTATGGTGCCCACACCTGTACTTGCCTTCCGAGGGACTGGCCCCTAAATCACTTAGCTCAGGGAGCTCAGGGGGCTCAGCATTCATGCGTACCCCAGGGAACCACAGATAAGACAGCGGTGGTGTTAAATGGGTGTGCAAGCACTGCCAAGGGCCATTTCTCCTAGCTCAGCACCCAGCAAGTGGGAGAAACACTCAGGTGCCAGTTTTACCCTGGTGGTGTGTAGATGGCACATGGAATGTTCCAACTACCCCAACTGCTTCCTGAAGGTCAGACTTCAAATTGGCCTGTATCTGGGAGCAGTCAGGGTCCTCTGGGAGCTGGAATGGGCAAGCAGGCACTTGCTACTGCTCCTTCCCCCAGCATGCTCCAGGGCTGGGGGAGGAGGGAGAGTAGGCTTCCAGCCTATCCTGGAAGGAGAAGGACCACATACCTAGCACCCTGACTGTTTCGGCTCCTGTCTGAGGGTCTGGCTTCTATCGTCTGTTTCCTGGGAGCTTAGGAGGCCCCACATTCACTAGGTCCTTCAGTGTCCACAGAGAACAGATCAGTGTTTTTTGTCTGTGTGTGTTTGTTTTTGTTTATCAGTCTCATGCACTGTCCTGTGACTCCTCTCCGTGACTCATCCCAGAAGTTCGTTCAAGATCAAAGATCATTCCTGGAAGATACTTCACATCTACTGCTCCACCTTTTCCAGCTGCTGCCCAAGGATCTGTCTTCCAATCTGCCTGTCTCTGAAAATGAGGAGAAAGTCACTCCCTAGCCCCTGGGGAGTCTGAATGGGCAGGTGGGTACTTAATGCAGCTTCTTTCCCCAGCTAGCTCCAGAGACAACCGTCCACCTAACCTACCCGTCTCTGAGATATGACAGAACCCAACAACCACTAAACCCCCAGCAGTAACAAAGCACAAAGCACTTTTGAAAAAGTGTGCAGTCTGAGCAAGGGTTCAGGCATTTTTCACAGATTCTGTCCCCACTATAGCACAAAGTGAGTGGAAGAAAACTTCCGGGTTCCCAGCCTCTGCCTAAGAAGAGAAATGGACCACAGCTGTAATAGAAAAGAACAAATCTGACTCCATATCAGATCTGTTTCCTAGGCTCAGTCTTGCTGGCTCTGCACCTTTTGTATAACAATGTTGCCAACAGTCTGAAATAGACAGGAGAGCTTATTCTGAAGGCTCTGACCTTTAAGGACATTAACACAGTTTCATTCATATAAAAATAAAAAGTTGCAGAATAGAAAATAATGTTTGCTTTTTTTGGAGGTTTACAGGGACACCATGATCTGACCCACATGCACAGCTGCAAGAACAAAGAATTTCAAGAACAAATTCCTACACCAAGATATTTCCAACAACCAAGCATTTCCCTTCC